CCTACTAAGTAGACCTTACCTTGTTCCTGTTGAACATTGAATTCCTACTAAGTAGACCTTACCTTGTTCCTGTTGAGCATTGAAATCCTACTAAGTAAACCTTACCTTTTTTCTGTTGAACTACTAAGTAAACCTTACTTTGTTCCTGTTGAACATTGAAATCCTACTAAGTAAACTTTACTTTGTTCCTGTTGAACATTGAAATCCTACTAAGTAGACCTTACCTTGTTCCTGTTGAACTACTAAGTAGACCTTACCTTGTTCCTGTTGAACATTGAAATCCTACTAAGTAGACCTTACCTTGTTCCTGTTGAACTACTAAGTAGACATTACCTTGTTCCTGTTGAACATTGAAATCCTACTAAGTAAACCTTAACTTTTTTCTGTTGAACTACTAAGTAAACCTAACTTTGTTCCTGTTGAACATTGAAATCCTACTAAGTAGACCTTACCTTGTTCCTGTTGAACATTGAATTCCTACTAAGTAGACCTTACCTTGTTCCTGTTGAACATTGAAATCCTACTAAGTAAACCTTACCTTTTTTCTTTTGAACATTGAAATCCTACTAAGTAAACCTTACCTTTTTTCTGTTGAACTACTAAGTAAACCTAACTTTGTTCCTGTTGAACATTGAAATCCTACTAAGTAGACCTTACCTTGTTCCTGTTGAACATTGAATTCCTACTAAGTAGACCTTACCTTGTTCCTGTTGAACATTGAAATCCTACTAAGTAAACCTTACCTTTTTTCTTTTGAACATTGAAATCCTACTAAGTAAACCTTACCTTTTTTCTGTTGAACAACTAAGTAAACCTTACTTTGTTCCTGTTGAACATTGAAATCCTACTAAGTAGACCTTACCTTGTTCCTGTTGAACATTGAAATCCTACTAAGTAGACCTTACCTTGTTCCTGTTGAACTACTAAGTAGACATTACCTTGTTCCTGTTGAACATTGAAATCCTACTAAGTAAACCTTAACTTTTTTCTGTTGAACTACTAAGTAAACCTAACTTTGTTCCTGTTGAACATTGAAATCCTACTAAGTAGACCTTACCTTGTTCCTGTTGAACATTGAATTCCTACTAAGTAGACCTTACCTTGTTCCTGTTGAGCATTGAAATCCTACTAAGTAAACCTTACCTTTTTTCTGTTGAACTACTAAGTAAACCTAACTTTGTTCCTGTTGAACATTGAAATCCTACTAAGTAGACCTTACCTTGTTCCTGTTGAACATTGAATTCCTACTAAGTAGACCTTACCTTGTTCCTGTTGAGCATTGAAATCCTACTAAGTAAACCTTACCTTTTTTCTGTTGAACTACTAAGTAAACCTTACTTTGTTCCTGTTGAACATTGAAATCCTACTAAGTAAACTTTACTTTGTTCCTGTTGAACATTGAAATCCTACTAAGTAGACCTTACCTTGTTCCTGTTGAACTACTAAGTAGACCTTACCTTGTTCCTGTTGAACATTGAAATCCTACTAAGTAGACCTTACCTTGTTCCTGTTGAACTACTAAGTAGACATTACCTTGTTCCTGTTGAACATTGAAATCCTACTAAGTAAACCTTAACTTTTTTCTGTTGAACTACTAAGTAAACCTAACTTTGTTCCTGTTGAACATTGAAATCCTACTAAGTAGACCTTACCTTGTTCCTGTTGAGCATTGAAATCCTACTAAGTAAACCTTACCTTTTTTCTGTTGAACTACTAAGTAAACCTTACTTTGTTCCTGTTGAACATTGAAATCCTACTAAGTGGACCTTACTTTGTTCCTGTTGAACATTGAAATCCTACTAAGTAGACCTTACCTTGTTCCTGTTAGACATTGAGTTCTTACTAAGTAAACCTTACCTTGTTCCTGTTGAACACTGAATTCCTACTTAGTAGACCTTACCCTGTTCCTGTTGAACACTGAAATCTAACAGTTCTGATGGAGTTATATAATTCAAAGTTCCAGGGGATGACTGTCTTTTTATTTCCCTTGTTTCAACCTGGTCCACAAGTTCCGAAGGAGTAGGGTTCCCATTATGCTCTATCATAGATTGTTCTTTTCTCTTAATCATACCCAACTGGGATGCAGTTGTATAATCCATTTCACCATATCCTGGGAATTTTAATTTTTTCTCCCTACTTTCACGAATTTCAACTTTTTCCAGTAACTTAGAAGGCGAAGTGTAACTCAAATTAGATTCTTGTTTTTCCATTCCCAGCTTGGAAGGTGTGGTATATTCCATTTCACCATACCCTGGAAATTTCTCTTTTTTCCTTCTACCTTCACGGATTTCAACTCTATCTAGTAATTTGGAAGGTGTAGTGTAACTTAAAGTTGACCCCTGTTTTTGCATTCCCAGCATAGAAGGTGTGGCATAACTCAGAGTAGACTCATATTTTTCCATTTCCAGCTGAGAAGGTGTAGTGTAACTCAGAGTAGACTCTTGTTTTTCCATTCCCAGCATTGAAGGCGTGGCATAACTCAGAGTAGACTCATATTTTTCCATTTCCAGGTTAGAAGGTGTAGTGTAACTCAAAGAAGATTCTTGTTTTTCCATTCCCAGGTTAGAAGGTGTTGTTGTATGTTCCATTTCACCATACCCTGGAAATTTCTCTTTACTCCTTCTACCTGCACGGATTTCAACCTTTTCCAGTAATTTGGAAGGTGTAGTGTAACTCAAATTAGATTCTTGTTTTTCCATTCCCAACTTGGAAGATGTTGCATATCCTGGAAGTGTCTGTTTATTTTCTCTACCTTCACTGATGTCAACTTTCTCCAGTAATCTGGATGTTGTGGTATCACTCAATGTGGATTCTCCTATGTTTGTACCATGACTTGTCACATCCCCAGGAACTATTCTATAACCCATTTCTCCATCACCTTGAACATTTTGTCTCATCTCTTCTGGCTCTTCACCTTTCTCCAATAGGTTTGATGATGTTGTGTAAGTCAAGGGTGATGGAACTACAGGAGTATATTTCTGCTTACGAGTTTCTATGAAGTCCACTATACTTCTAACTGTTCCTGTATCATTTGTCCTAACTGATTCTTGACCATTGTCCATACTTTCTTCTACAGTTCTAAATTCAAAATCTTCCTTTTCTTCTTCATCAGCTTCTCTCTGGGCTGAAGGTGTCACATGACTTCCTGTCATTCTAGATTGATCTTTCTCCTCTTGACACTTCAAAACCTCCAAAAAGTCAACTACAGATGTGAAGTCATGACGGGCATCATATCCAACATTTCTGTCATGGGATCTATACTTTCTATCCTCTCTAAATCTAATTGGTTGTCCTCTTTTGGGTTCTGAGTAGCTCCTCTGTAAGATGTCTGTTTTCTCATTCCTGTCTGCTTGTTTTAGGATCTTATCAGTTTTATGACTTTGTTCTAATCGCAAATTATCCGAAGAATCCTTCTGATTGGACAATTTATTAACAGTATCTTTTTGAAATTCTTCTTTAACTTTGACTTCCTTTAAAGCCTTTTCCTGTTCAATAGTGTCATGTTCTTTCAGTTTTGACTCTACAGCTTCTTTGAACACTTTCTCCTCATATTGAACCACTTTTATCGGTGAGGGAACAGGTTTTTGATGGGGACTAGACTGATGTTCCTTTTCTTTCACAAAGTCAACTGTTTCCTTTCTGTTTGATAATTGTTGTTCATTTTCTTGATTTGTGTGTTTCAGTTTTAATTTCAGCAGTTCTGATGGTTTGGTAAAATACTGTCTTACACTATCAACAGTCTTTAAAGGATTAAGTTCAGTTTCTTTCAGTTTTCCAGATGATGCTCTCCTCAACAAATTCTGATCAAAGTTGCTGCTCCTAGTCTTGGTATGGTCAGATATTGATCTAGTTTCACTGCCAGGAATTGATTCAGTTGATTTATTGTCAGATTCCATGTTTGCTTCGATGACCTGACTGGTAGCTGTGTGGTACATTGTTTTATCATCAGATTGGTGTGTTTCTTCCATATTTTGCTCGCTGTTTTGATCTTGCAAGTTGTTGAAGTTGAATACCTCCTTGTCATGTGGGATAGGTGAAGATGAAAACAATGGTTCAGTACCGATGAATGAGAAATCACTTGAGACATCCACTGGATCAACTGCACTTTCTCTTCTACCTAATTCCTGTGGCTGTTCATAGTATACAGCAAATTATTTTATTTTCAAAGTTTTTAACCCATACATTAATATTGATTTATGTTATTGTTCCTGCCTAAATAATAAAAAAAATTGTTTATAGTATGTCCATCAACAATCATTCATTTACTTTGTTTCTAATCAAAATGATGTTTAAAAGTTTTAAATATAAACAAATTTGGGGCCCAAGTACACATATACCATAAATAAAACAAGATGATGAAAAAAAAATGTTAATGAGACAGAAATCCTACAAAATTATAAAATCTCAATCCAGATGATGTTTCTGATGATCCACAAGTGTTCATACCATATTTAAAGCTCTAAATCACCAACAACAAAAACCATCAAAGATATCTACACTCATTTGTTTTCTGATTTTGCCTATCCTGTCAACAAGTCAAAGACTAGCGTCTCATCCACAAATATACTAAGATTACAGACATTAAACAAGCAACAATCAATCAACCATAAATTACATCACATGCAAAATAAGATTTTAAACTTTCATATCAATTATGACCTTGACCTTTTAGCCAGACACTTAAGTATCAATAAAAGCATCATATGGTTTCCACTTCATCAGCTTCTCTCAACTCCATTTTTTGCAGAATGGCTGAAAGTGTCTCATGATTTAGTGATTGCAGATTTCAGATTCCTTATCTTTGATTATATTTTTTGTCCTTTTTGGTTCATTAATCTGTTGAATAAGCTTTGGATTTTCAAAGATTTTCGACTCTAGCATCACTGAAGTGACTTTTATTGTCAAAATACAGATCTGATGTGCTTTAAACAACTTTTCTATTAATATATATGTACAATATAAATTTAGTTGGTGACCTTGATGATCATAAAAGAACATTCAAACCTAGAAGTCACCATATCATCATGTATTACCAAACCTAGAAGTCACCAAATCATCATTTATTACCAAACCTAGAAGTCACCATATCATCATTTATAACCAAACCTAGAAGTCACCATATCATCATTTATAACCAAACCTAGAAGTCACCATATCATCATTTATAACCAAACCTAGAAGTCACCACCATATCATCATTTATTACCAAACCTAGAAGTCACCATATCATCATTTATTACCAAACCTAGAAGTCACCATATCATCATTTATTACCAAACCTAGAAGTCACCATATCATCATTTATTACCAAACCCTAGAAGTCACCATATCATCATTTATTACCAAACCTAGAAGTCACCATATCATCATTTATTACCAAACCTAGAATTCACCATATCATCATTTATTACCAAACCCTAGAAGTCACCATATCATCATTTATTACCAAACCTAGAAGTCACTGTATCATCATTTATTACCAAACCCTAGAAGTCACCATATCATCATTTATTACCAAACCTAGAAGTCACCATATCATCATTTATTACCAAACCTAGAAGTCACCATATCATCATTTATTACCAAACCTAGAAGTCACTGTATCATCATTTATTACCAAACCTAGAAGTCACCATATCATCATGTATTACCAAACCTAGAAGTCACTGTATCATCATTTATTACCAAACCTAGAAGTCACCATATCATCATTTATTACCAAACCTAGAAGTCACTGTATCATCATTTATTACCAAACCTAGAAGTCACCATATCATCATGTATTACCAAACCTAGAAGTCACCATATCATCATTTATTACCAAACCTAGAAGTCACCATATCATCATTTATTACCAAACCGAATGATAAGGATAAGGATGAATGTATACATTCCAAGATATGTGTCAATTTATTTTCTGTTAAAAAATACAAGTTTATAACTTTGAACTTACTAATGAATTTCAAAATTAATGAAGGCACACCCTCTGCTGGTATTGAAAATTGTCCCAAGCATTATCATTTAGTTACAAATGCCTGAAAATCTATATTACATAAAGTATTGGTGACAGATGGAAAAGCTAAATACAACAGAACTATTGTCCCTTATCTAAAGTATTCTTTCATATTGATGAACTTATTTTCTTCACTACAAAAATAAGTTCTTTCTTAAATAAAATGCTCCGCTGGGCGCAGCTTGATACGACCACAGAGGTCGAACCCTGAACAGTTGCGGCAATTATGGACACAACATTCAAGCTTGATACAGCTCTGAATTTGGATTGTGATTAAATATTTGACACAGCATAGATTTCTGACACAGAATGAATGTGGTCTAAGAACTTAAAAATTTTTAATTTACCTATTATGGTCCAATATCCAAAATCTAAATACATGGTTAGATTCAGCATATCAAAGAATCCAAAGAAATCAATTTTTGATGAAATCAAACAAAGTTTAATTTTGGACCCTTCTGACCTCAATGTGGACCAATTTGATAACGGGCCCAAAAATCAAAAAACATGGTTAGATTCAGCATATCAAAGAACCCCATATATTCAATTTTTGTTGAAATCAAACAAAGTTTAATTTTGGACCCCAACTTAGACCAACTTGAAAACTGGGCCCATAATCAAAAATCTAAACACATGTTTAGATTCAGCATATCAAGGAACCCCAAGAATTCAATTTTTGTTAAAATCAAACTAAGTTTAATTTTGGACCCTTTGGACCTTAATGTAGACCAATTTAAAAAACGGGACCCAAAATTAAAAATCTAAATACACGGTTAGATTTGGCATATCAAAGAACCCCAATAATTCAATTTTTGATGAAATCAAACAAAGTTTAATTTTGGACCCTTTTGACCTCAATATGAACCAATTTGATAGTGGGGCCCACAAATAAAAAATCTAAATACATGGTTAGATTCAGCATATCAAAGAACCCCATATATTCAATTTTTGTTGAAATCAAACAAAGTTTAATTTTGGACCCCAATTTGGACCAACTTGAAAACTGGGCCCAAAATCAAAAATCTAAATACATGTTTAGATTCAGCATATCAAAGAACCCCATACATTCAATTTTTGTTAAAATCAAACTAAGTTTAATTTTGGACCCTTTGGACCTTAATGTAGACCAATTTGAAAACTGGACCCAAAATTAAAAATCTAAATACACGGTCAGATTCGACATAACAAATAAATAAATGCGGTCAAAGATTTTACAAATCTAATGCACCATACTGTGCAATTAAAGATTACTTCTTGAAATTTTTCAATATTTGAAATTTGAAAAAAAAATAATATTTGAAGAATAATTCTTTTTAATTTCGGAAATCTGAAATGAGAAAAAATTGACCCCCCACAATTTCTTTTTACCCCCCCCCCCCCCCCCTTTTTCCCCAAAAAAATTCTTTCCCTCAAGATATGGTCATAATCTCAATTCAAATTTCCAATGGAATTTGCAACCATAATTACCCATTTAAATTTACCATAGTGCTAACTTAATATATTTTATAATAGAATTTAAAATATGGTGTCAAATCTTTCATTTGGATTTTTTTGTAAAAACAGGATGCAACATTTGCAGATATTTTTACTGGTCTTCCTTTATAAATATGCATTTCTTTAAACATAATTTCAAAGCAGTGTAAGGGAAGTAATCAAAACGTTGTATTTGGATTACCTCCCTTACACTGTTTTAAATTGTCTTAATTTACCTTATGGTAAAATTTCAAAGAGATCCATTCACTTAAACTAAAGTTATAGTGCGAAAACCAATGTGTCTTCGGACGACGACGACAACGTCATACCAATATACGACCACAATTTTGCGGTCGTATAAAAAATAAGAAATAAGAAATGTGTCATGTGTTAAGAAGATGAAGTGATGTTGTGCTCATGTTACAGAAGTATAGGGTATTGTATTAATCAAATTGTCTCCAATAATTATTGATGTTCAGTTCGCTAGTTACCTTGGCGACAATCTTACCTTTAACCCACCAGATGCTGACATATCAGGCATGGAACCATAATGGTCACTCTTTTGTATTCCTGATGAATTTGTTTTAGAAATATCAGGTTCTGAAATTACAAATAGGGACTACATGATGTGTCTTTATGACATGGATGTACTTTCTGGATATGCTATAATTAAACTCAAATGCAATGGTTAATCATTAAATAGGTCGTAATGATCTAAATTGCTGAAATCCATGTCATCTGGACTCTGTAGGATAAATTTCTCATAGATCATACCACATCCCTTATTTTATGTAAACTGTCTTTAACAGCTGTGTTAACAAGAGATTATGTAAAAATGCAGTTGTACAATATCATTTATACACTGCTATAATTATATGGATTTCTCTATTACTAACCATTCAGGAAAAACGAGCATTTTTTTCTATATATTTATCTAATTAATTCTAAAAAATTTCATCCCTGATTTGTTTGTAAAATAGGTACAAATATTCTTAAAATATATTTTTAAAGGGGGGTCCACGTTCTCATTTTCAAACTATTGATTGAAATCAGTCGAAAAATGCATCCTTTCCTGATATGTCACAGTTTGACGTCTCGAAAAATAACATTTTATGTTAGCAATGTCATTACCTCCCCTGTACCTGTATTGTATGCCCTTAAATTCTTAATGTTGCTCCCATCATCCTGGGTAAGGTCACATACATCGCCCTATTCATGCATTTCAACTGTTTTTAAACATTTGAACATTGAAATGATGACAATGGCAAGTGCACAAAACTGTAAGAATGGGAAATCTCTGTCACCCTTGGTAAAGCCTCATCAGGGCATGGAAATCAAACTGTCTGAGCTATAATACATATATCTTAGACACCTGAAGTCAAGATTTTTAGTTTCTTGATGAGGATTGTCCAAGTCACTGATAACAAGAAATCTTACCTGAGGGTGCCTTACATTTCCCCTTCTTTCACTGTTGTTGTTGTTTCATTCATTTTTTCCAGTCAATTTGCTTTGATCTTATAAGACATTTGTAACCTTGATAAGGTGTTTCCATAGAGTTTTATTTAAGACATCAATAAAGAAAAATTGATTCATAGAATTTTTAGGTCATTCAAGTTTAATTGATTTGCAGTGTCTAAGTAACATGTACCTGTAGTAGAATATTTTGGCTTCTGTTCACTCATTGTTCTTCTTTTTAACGACGACTCCCCTAAAAATAAACAATTAATATGAAGAAGCAGAAACATTAAGTCACATGATTCCTTTTATAAATTATATAACTTTGAGAAGACCTCTAGATCTTATTAAAGAAAAAAAAAACTGGTGTTTCATCCTTTTTCCTTTTTCTTGTTTTGACAATAAAATATGTTTAAGGTAGATAGGGCGTATTATCAGTAGATCAAAATGATGTATTGCATCCCATCATTCATTTTCAATTCATTAATGGGTAGGCCTTGTATTTTTCATAAAATGTTACCTTCGCTCCACAACATTCCACTCAAGGTATCATATAAATGAAAACATGGCATACCTATATAATATACATGTTACTAAGGAAAACATGGCATTACCCATATCATATCCACGTTAACTTACTATATTTTTTAGTACAACATAATTACATGTATATTCAGTTTTTGCCAGCGTAAATGTATAATTATCATTACCATGAATATCTTCTTCTTTCTCTGGTATACTGTAAAGTCTAAATGTTACAGGGGATGAGTTTCTATGTACTGACTGTGTTGGACATTCTTTCTGTGTATTTGTTTGTCTAGGAGGTAGTTGTGGCTTTTGATTGACTAGTTTAGGTCTTGGTAGCTGTCTTGGTATCAATGGAGGTGGGCGTCGATTTTTGATGTATGAAGTGACTCCACTGGAAGAAGGTGGTCTCTGATAACTGTTTTTGTTCTTCAGGTGCAAAATTCTGAAATATAAAATGTAAAGTTCAGAATTTTCAGAAAAAACATTCAGTATTTTCTTCTAACCATACATCACAAGGGCAACTATGTTTATCTTTGTAACTAATTGAGGAGATAGCACTGAGGTGAAAGTCATACAATGATGCATTAGAACTGCATAAAAATGTAATTCATTATACTATAATTATTAATCTTACTTAAGAAAACATTTTTGAATGAAGACTACTACTAAATACCATAACTTTTAATACATAACATATATATATATATATACATACATATATCCTGTATCCATGTTTTCAGGTAAATAATCATTGTGTAAATGTAAAATAAATTACCCTGTAATAATTATTGTGTAAATGTAAAATATATAACCCTGTAATAATTATTGTGTAAATGTAAAATATATTACCCTGTATCCATGTTTTCAGGTAAATCTTCTTCACAGTAATCAAAATAATAAACATTAGAACCCATCTTTCATATGACTATAATCTTGGAAATCCAACACTTTTCACAACAAATAATTCCCAACAGCTGATATAAGCTTTGTCATTTACTATTGTTTTAGATACATGAGATATATAGGCTGTACATGTATGTAACATTTTATTCCACAGCACGGTTCTGTCAATATTCTGAACAGTTCACAGTTTTCATGCACTGAATCAATAGGTCAGACATTTTTCAGATTGGAAATGAAATATTATAATCCTTTTTAATTAAGGTCAAATATATATTTAAAGTTACTTGAGGTCATCCAACTGAGCATGAAATGTTATGGACCATTTAATCCTTAAAAGTGAAACCAAGTTCAAAATATCTTTTGAAATTAACAATTTCCATATTTAATGTTTATCAAGAAATTAAGACCATATTGTGAGTTTGTAAGATATAAATAAAAAGCTAGGCAGTAATCAGACACATATATCATAATAGATTTTCATTAAATTCTGATTCTACATTAGAAAGCTTAACCTTTAAAGTTTTAATCTGGAGATTTAAAGAGGATAAAATCATTAAGTGTAAAAATTGATTAGTTATAGGTAATTATGTCTTGACAACTTTTTAAATGTTTTAACTACTTTGCCTACATAATAGTTCACAGTGTGTTCAGCAACTCATAGCCATGGTCATTCCATGATATCTGTATCAAAAGATAGTTCCAATACAACCTCACTTTACATATAATTCAAAAAGTGTTAGACCAAAGAAATTACTACATCAAAAAGAAAAGTCACCTGAAATACAATATTTTTTAATTTCTGAAATCCGTAAAGATTTAGAGTAATGTTGGCAGTTAACAAGTATCCATTGTTGTGTAAAGCAATCCATATGGTTAATACCATGAAACATGTACTGGAGAACGCTAGCATTTAATTTTTATTCTGACAAAGTCCCCAAAGCCAGGTAGTAACATAGATTGACTAAAAAGCTTAAAAGCTAATCTCTGAATGAAAAATAATCTGTGTATTAAATTGTTAAATGGGCATTAAAATACATATTGAGGTTCAATATAACAATTTAGCTTTTAAAATAAATGTGCAAACATGATTCCTTAAATGGGAATTGACAAAGCAGAATTATGTTTATAAGCATGTGTAAAGTTATCACTTGGAATATTACAAAGTGTTTAATCATAGTGATGTGAAATAGAAGGAAATCTGTGTTTGAAACTTAAATTTGAGAACATATTGTACATGCGTTTTCTATCAAATGAGGATAAATATATTCAATTTCAAATCAGGTTTTGTATAAGAAAACAATTTTTCAAATAAACAATGATTATTGTATCCAGACAATAATCAAAATGGCTGTCAACTATTTATGATTTAAAAAAAAAAAAATTATTCTAATGTGATGCTCATCTTTTGCCTTGTAAACAAAGCCATGTTCATCCAATAAAATATGTGAGGGAGATGTACTTGACATCATCCTTCAATTTGCAAGGCCTGTTGTATTTTGAATGATGTTAGAGAAAAACATGGTCAAATTTGCGATACATGTAGTTGCTCTCCCTGATTGAAGTTCAATAGATCTTTAACAAAAATGTAAGTGTCTTTTAATATTGTACACAAAACAGTTATAATGTCTCTAATGCAAAATGTGATTTTTCGTGACATCGTAATGTGTCATATATGTGGAAAAAAAGTATCTGCCCACTGATTTCATTCGGCAGCTTAAAAACAAGTCCATAGAACCTTCTTTTTTAACATAACATTTGGCTTAATTATGTAGGAAGGTTATTTGTATCAATTTTTTTATGAAAAAATTTGTAAAGGGTTCCCATGAACACTGTGACTGTATCTAAATGTTAACTGCAAAATCTCAAACTAATTAAGTTCATTTATCAGTAAAATATGGAAAAATGAAGAACATTTTTTTTTTCAAATTCTGCTCTGGATACTGTCTTTTGATTATCAAAAAGCTTCTGTCCATGTTACCTAAAATTCCATAAGATTTGACAAAGTTATTGATTATTGAAAAAACTTTAGACTGTATTTGAATCTTAACTGTAAAAATACTAAGAACATTTAGCAGTAAATCAGTGAGGAAAACAATTTTTGCTCTGGATACTGTGACGTGTCTTTTGATCATAACAAAGCTTCTGTCAAAATTTCATAAAATTCCATGCAGTTTTGACAAAGTTATTGATGTCTAAAAACCTTTAACCACAGACTGAACCTGTACATGTACATGTACAGAAGACAACAGAATCTAGTATCGCTATGTCTCCCTGCTGTGACATATATGTTGCAAGCTGTACAAAATGGAACTAAACATATAAGCATGTAGTGTTAGAAAATACACAAAATGTATCAAATTTATTTGTACACGTTTAATAAGAAACAGGATGGAAGCTTAGCTATATTAGCTTTTCCACCTGTTCTAAAGCCTTCTAATTTAAACTGGCAGGTGTCCTACATGTAGCACTCCCTTTGTGTAGGGATGGGGATTGTCCTTGTAAATATTGTTGTTGATATGTTAGTGATATGTTAGTGACACATCTCCATTTATCCTGATTGGGAGTGTACACGGTTTCCACTGTACCCTCCAACTCTCGAGGGGTGCTCCGATTAACGGAGGGATCTACGTGACCGAATTTGACAAAATTCAAAGATTAGCTACAGACATGTGTTATAGACTCCATTCTCAGCGTGTATGGAAGTTACAAGGAAAATAATAACTGTATCGCTAAATATAAAGATAATACAATCAGTGTAATGAGGAAAGATATGATATGAACACTATGTACATATGTGTAAAGGTAGAGCCAGGGGTGTCCTGCTTTCCATTGTATAAAGCACCCTATATTTTTAGATTTTAGTTGTGTACATTAAATCTTAAAATACATATTGACAAGGCCTAGATATTTTTACCTTATAATTGTGTAAGAATTTTTTTTATCAGTCCTTAGATATATTAGATCTTATCCGTGTACCATGGTGTACAGTGAATCAAAAATATTTTTTTTAGTTATTTGTGGAAAACTTTTAGTGCATACTATTTAAGTTTTAATTAACTCCCCACCTGGATAATATCTGTTGAGGAGGTGTTCCATAATTGGAAGGACATACATATAGAAGAAGAAGACATACATACAGTGCAGACTGTGAATGACCTACATGTATACCATAAGACATTGTCAAGCAAGAAAGCCATCACATTAAAATAAACAAAAATATATTATAGAATGTATTACATGTACCTACACATTATCAAATGCCAAAAAAAAAACCAATGAAACTGTGACACTGTGATTGCAACTCTGAATCCTTCCATAAAGATAAAATATAATTTTCTATTCTTACCTTTCAGTTTCAGTCATTTGCAACAAACTCTAAAATTTCGTGGCAAACAAAAATCGATTACCTGATACATTCCCTAACATTTGATTAAAATCAAATAAAGTATTCATCAGCAATCATGAAATATTCATGTTCCATCTGGTTCTATAAAAATATTTGATCGGTCGTATGTTATGCAAAGGGTTCTAATTTGGTTGACTCAATGACTGTCAATATATGTTTTATTTTACAAGAAACTCTTGACTTTCGTAAGGTCTTACATGCAAAAAATGACCGTTTATCAGGAAAGTGTCATGTATAAAGATGACTTTTGAATTCAGTAGCGAGTGTTTCTTCCTCCATGTTGAATCATGTAAACAAAAAAATTGTTATCGTAAATCGATAAATTTACGACATCTGTCTTTATGAACTATTTGGAAACAAAATGTAAACAAAATATTTTATTAACATTTTTTTAAAACCCTATATTAAGAACTTGCAAATAATTTGAAAACAAAAGTAAAACAACCAATTTGGCTAATTTGACACGTTTTTACGACTACTGAAACATAAAAGTACATATGACCCTAACTACCATAGCATATATATATATATATACGTTGTTTTCAATTTAGACGTATATATATATATATATATAGGATATGTACTTAGACATTTCATTTAATGTCTGCACACATAACTTCACGCAGAAACATAAAAAATTATATGCCGAGGCGTATCCATTTATCATATACTCAAACTTTATATATATCGTGAAAAACATGATCTTTATAAAAGTATTGTCTAGGGTCGACAACATCTCAGACACTGAGACTTCTTCATGTACAAAGACCTAATTCTGAATTTTTTAAAAGAACATTTAAATATTCTGGTCTTATTACCTGGAATAATTTACCAAATAATATTAAAGAAATAAATAATTTAGATACATATTTAAGATCATATGTTCAAACTATTTTCTAACTGTACAGAATGAAGATGCCCGATTCTAATGTATTTTTTCTTCTTCTATTGAATGCATATGTACTTATTCAATATTTAAGCTGCTTTATATAACTGTATTATGTATTTTATTTTGTTTGTATTTTTGTCTTTTCTATTTGTATTAATAGTTTTTGAAGGCCTCATGGAAGATTAACATGTCATTGTTAAATGTGTTACCTTCGTTAAATAAAGAATTTTGTTATTATTAT